GTTGATCTCTATATTACAGAATTCCCACATCTTTCATCAACAAACCACATCCAGCCATTGTAATCACCTGGATGTGAACCTAAAGTAGTCTTAGAGCCAATCCAAATTCATATAAAAGCTCAGTTCTTCCCCCTTTGGGGAGTAAAAATTAAACAAACAGAAGTTCTAATATTTTAATTTTCATATCTCAGTTGTCTTTCCTCATTGAACTTAGTAAATTATTGAACTAGTGAAGAAGCACAAAGCTTCACAACTTATATTAGGTGCAGAGGGTATGAACAGTTATAGTTTATAGAATGATACTTCATTATACAGAGAAGTACTCAATGAAAAATAATTGAATTGAATCAATGATATTCAAATAATGGCTCTAAGTCATCAAATGTAAGTTAAATTATGCATACATATTAGGATTAACAGGACAGTCATTCAAAATTATTAGATTGGGATATTTCCAAAAACAACCTTCATATATTCAAAAATTTACTGATTCAGAATCTCTCACCCAGAGATTCCAGTTACCATGAATTCTATAGTCTCTTTCCATTTTACCCAAGAATGAAAGGAATTTTTAAAAAGCATATTTAAGAAGCACATACTTCAGTCTCCTAAAATACATTTACTGTTCCAATTATGAAAACCAGTGGAGCCATTAGTACGTTATCCACTAATTTAAATAACTTCAAACCTTAATATTAAAATATTTTTTTAATATTCAAAGTAGTAATAGAAGCAAACATCATAGACTTCATATTTAACACCATTAGCAGTAGTAGTAGTAATAGTAGTAGTAGTAGTAGTTGTAGTATGGAACAAACAAATCTACTTTTTCCATAGGTAACAAAAAGAGTAATGCTTCATGAGTCAAGAAATCACTCAACCAGTTTTTAAATGTCTATTTTGCATTAGAAAGTACAAGAGATATAAATATAAGATACATATCCATATAAATTTGGCATCATAAAAGAATCTCAAATATACTGATAGAAAATGTTTTACAGGAAGAAAAGATGAACTAAAACTATTTTCACAGGAAAGGGACATGAACTGGAGGATTCAGAGCCAGAAAGGGCATTGAAAGCTGAGGGAAATAATTTGCTACTTGCTTTAATAAAAACAAATAATTCAGAACACCAAATATAAGACAATTTGAGTAAAACAATTTAGAGAAAGTTTCCATTAGAGACTCATAATTTATTAAGCTGTTTGTTCACTGTCACACACTTAAATATAGAACTGGTACCCTTTAGGTTCATTCATAAACCCTCTCAACTTAGTCTTAAAATAAACACTCTAGCAAGAGAAAGAAAAATTAAAAGGAGCTGTAAGCTGAAAATTTGGGGCACTAGATCTTAATATACTCTTTTGTCAAAGTTAACCATTTTCTATTCTCTGGACCTTTTCCTAGCATGGCCTTTTCCCCTAATATACTTTATACCTGTCATTCTACTTTAAGTTGGAAACGTGATAAAAGTTCACTTTGAAAAGAAATTAATTTTAGTAATTTCCTGTCCACCAGAGGGCTCCAATATTTATTTCTCCCACAAATGGAAGAGATATAACATTACAATAAATTCATTAAGTACTGAAAAAATTCAAATTATCATTACCTCATTTAACCCCAGACTAAAATGTTTACATCTGCTACAATTTCTACATTAACAGTTCAAAAAGACACAGGGCTTTTAAACTAATTTATCACCTAAAATGTTTCAAATACCAAAATTGCTTTGCCGTTATTCTCACACTAATTGTCAATTTCTCTCAGGTAGAGTTTCAATTTTATAGATATCATCAAGTACAATTTTAAGTCCAAAGCTCTAAATAGTAACTCAAATGTTTTATATAATACTTTGATAAATACAATTTATTAATAACTCTCCTTATCCAGAAAATAAAAGTACTACCTATCTACCTAGCCTTAGGCCTTATTACTAACAAATAGAGTAAACATTCTCTTTCAGAAAACCTACAGTCATTAACATCATTCATGCTACAATTATAAACAATGAATATTGTCCCATCATGACCTATGATTTGGCTGAAAAAAAAAATAAAATAAAGGCAGTGAATCACTTATATACAATGTATTATAATATTCTGTTCAGATATTCTCAGATTTTTTTCACAAGTTATTATGCTGGAAGTAAATCTCAGTTCAAACTCAATCACTCTTAGCAAAAAAAAAGCCAATATTTTATGTAAATACATGCAAATTATTTATAGAACATATTTACAGAATTTTAATAGGAAAGGCATCAACTGCAAATTATTTTTTTAAAAGAGTACAGCAAATCCATTCCCTACGGGTGCTACTCCCCTTCCAAAAACTCAACTTGCTAAATTTGAATTATAAAAAGAGAATCCTTACGGTAAACACAAAAATTTACTGAATGTTTAAAAATAAATTTTATAATGTGAGTTATATTTACAAAACAAAAAAGATGCTAAAAATCTATTTTAAAGTGAATCACAATCATTGCCATAAGACTTTCCAAAAACATCAATTGATTTAGCAATTACTGTAGCTCAAGAATAAATTATCTCTAATGAAAACATGGCAGGGTTGTAACCTTACAGGACCACCTCATCTCCCAAATAGGATTTTCCTGTACAACTGACAAGCACCATTATCATGGAAAAGAGCGCAACATTTTTTCTAAGTAGCACATACTAGCTGTCAGCACTTAGAAACGTGAAAATTTTACTGCACCTAGCAAAAATGTATGTATTCATACTTGCAAGAACACATATCCTGATCAATTTAGAGTTATGCTGCAAGGAAAATGTCAGATTGTAGAAAGAGGTGGGGGTGGGAAGGCTGAGGCTTTTCACAGTGGTAAAATTGTTCTCACTTTAAGTCATGAATAAAAGCACAAATTAACTGCCATTACTGCTATGAAGAGCTTAAAAATACGAAGCACTTAATCAACAACTTCTAACCAGTATTTACCATGTTATATTTCAAAAAGTCAAGAATTCTAGGAGCATATCAAATGAAGGTATTTCTTAAATAAAAATTCTAAGTAATAGCAAATAAAGGCTTAAAAGGCTTTAACATAGGGGGGAAATCTATGGACCTTCAACAAGTTCAACAGCTAGAAAACAAGACATAAAAAATACGCAGAACAATCTCATCTGAGCTGTACCTTAGATACACTCTGAAACAGCATCAAGATATTATGTTTATTATATAATTTTGCTGTGCCCTTGCATATCACCTTTAATCAAAGGATCTCAAAGCACCACAGAATCATTAAGGCCTTAAAATAAGGTCTAGAACAGAAATAATTACATTTTATAATTGCAGCTATTAATAAAAACCTTGCCACTATTTCTCAGTCCCGTGATCCAAACAAACATTAGCTTCCAAACCTTCCCTCTGACATGGAAACAGTATTTCCCAAATCATTTCAATTTGTGATTGATGCTATGCACATTTCAGCTTTTCTTCATCACTGGGACTAAAGAAAGTGATGGTACTGTTTTAATGACACAAATCTATTTCATTCTAACTCTCTGCTACAATAGTGCACATATCTTGCAGGGTGCAGGATGATATAAAATGGTGGCCTTATGGAGATCAAATTTTTGCTGGAGGTGATGAGCCCAAGCACCTACCAAACAAGAAACAGCATTTCCCAGCTCAGTCTAGAGACCTCTCCAGGCAACTTCTAGAGGGGGGTAGAGGAAACCATTTCGTTATCTCCTTAAGTGGGTAGAAGACTATTCTTCTGTGTGCACACCAGGAGGAAAGAGAAAACCAAAAGGATAAAGCAAGGGTTTTAAAACTCAGGAAGGAGAGTGTAAGGTTGCTGCATGGCCACCCAAAACACAGAATGTTGTGGTTCCTTCACATTTAAATAGCACGTTAAATGGAAATCCAACATAAGCAAAATGTCTTTAAACCAAGGTCAAAATACACCACTTAGGGTCACTTAACTTTTTTAATTATTTTAAAATCTGTAACTGAAGTTTGCTCCTATAGAAACATCTGAGATTTTAAAATGTAATCAACAAAGTTCAATTTTACTTTTTGGCTGGAATACATGAACACTCAAATGGAATGTAACTATGTTAACAGCAATTCTTTTATAAACAAGATTATCCATCTTCTTGTTAACTGCATTATGTTTGCCCCTAGGACTGCAAAATGTAATGTCACACACAAACCCACCTCCAGCACGGTAAGTCTACACGGCTAACTACCGTCGGTCAACAAACTCACAACCTTAACGTTTATAAACAAAAAGAAAAGCAACATCAAAGAATACTTTTTGTTTCGAGTTCTCAACAGTCAAGGGTCAAGGCTCAATAATGTGTTTTATTAGCGTTTAAAAGTCCAATGATGGAATAGGTGCTACCAAATATTTGGTACTAAAAGTCCTGTAATATTCATTAAAAGTCCCAATATACGGTGAGCCTAGATTTGTGAAAATCCCCAAACATCTTAATATTTGTTGCCATGCTTGTTCACCTAGACACTTCAAAAAAGTCACTGCAAATTCTCGTGGACTTTGTCTTGAGGAGATAGATACACGACACTGTTCTCGCCCAGACCAAGTTTGCACCTAGTGCCTTCAGGAGCTCGTCAGTGTCACAGACTCCGTTTCCCTGCCAACCTCGGTGTCTGGTGGGGACGCCCGCCCTCGGCTCTGCCCACTGTCACCGACGTTTTCCGAAGCATTAAGATACAAGATACACTGTTCAGAGGCTTCTAGCAAAGGGATCTTCTCCCCTTAAAGCTACCTCGCCACATTTTCCCGACTTCTCCATTGCCTTGGGTGATTTGAAAAAACGCAACCAAGTGAGAAACCCCATCCTCAAAGCACTACTGGCTAAAAGGGGGAAACCAGAACCTCCAACTTCTCCAAATCTCCCAGCACGACGGCTTCTCAACAGGCCCCTGCAAACTCGCCCCACCTCTGCATCCTTTCTGATTAAATAAGACTGGAAACCACAATTAAATCAAAGTGTGTCGTAACTTAGCCTTCACTCACCATATCCGCCGGGACATTACTGGACATCTTGCCACTTGATAAACAGCCAGACGTTCACGGAAAAAATACAAAAAACACACAACAAACAAAAAGGTGCAGAGGTCTTCAAGCCACAGAAATCAACGTTAACGATCTCGATGAGTTCGTGATGTGCTTTCCAAAAACTAAGTGATGTGGGAGCCAAAGTCGCGGCCTGGCCGAGGTTGTGCGCGGAGGAGCGATCCCAGGAGCCGAGTGGCCGGAGCGCAGGGCACTCGGGAGGGAGCAGCCGGGTCGTCGTCAGCAGTGGCCCCAGGACCGGCCGCGCCAGGTGGACGGAGCCGAGTGACACACGGGCATGGAGCGGTGGGAGGGGGTTAAATGCGCCTTCCTCCTTCGTGGGCCGGCAGTGATTCACACGCGCGCCCGAGTCCAGTCCTCATGAAGCAGCAAAATGCCCCGGCGGGAGGTACACAGATAACTATGCGGCTACACATGGACGCGTGAGCGCTGAGTGGCCGGCGGGGGAAACGG